TCCTCCTCCTCCCCCGCAGCACGCCCGCGCCTCACCTTCACCGAGTCCACCGGGTACATGATCGAGTGCTCCAGGATCCCGGCCATCGCTCCGGCTGTCATGTGCGTGGACACCGCGGCGCCGGTCGGCAGGTTCTCGTAGTCCTCCGACCCCGCGTCCTTGCAGCCGCCGCCGCCATCTCGGCAGTCCCCATCCATCCTCCGCCCTACGGCCTGGCTCCCCACGCCGCCGCCGCTGCGCAGCTCCATGCGCCGGCCCCGCGGGACGCGGGAGGCCGCGGGAGGGACCGGGGCGGGGAGGGGAGCGGGCGGAAAACTTCACTTCTTAAAGCGGGAACCACCTCCCCGGGGCCACGGCGCCTGACGCCATGGCGGGCTGGGGGAGGAGCCGAGGGGCCGCAGACACCAATGGCTGGAAAGAAGAGGCCGGCGACCGCCGCGCCATTGGCGCGCGGGGCGCCGAGCACCCGCCCCTCTGTGTGACGCCACGGCCCCTGCACCTCTCCCGGCAACCGGACGGGGGCGTGAGCCGGCGATGGGAATGGTTGGCCGGGGAAGCGGTGCTGGGCCAGCCGGGGCCGGGGTGGTGCCGGCCTCGCCGGGGGCAGCGGGAGGGCTGGTGGAGAGACCGCGACCGCGGCAGCCCCTCCCCAGGCGGTGGGGAGCCTGTGTGCCCAGAGCCCGCGGTTTAGCAGGTTGACTGGAAACGTCGGCCGTGAAGCCGCTGCCGGTGGTCGTGGGAGGGGCCGTCGTAGAACGGAGGCCACACCTGGCTACCGGTGCGCCCGCGCGCAGGAGGCGCTGAAGACTCGGGGTTCCCTTCTAGGCGGCCTTGCTGGGGAGCACCCCACTTAGTTCAAGGTTGTTTCTGTCGCTCAAAACGTACAAGATCCTCTGCTAGTTTTCCCAAAGAGGTCAAGTCTACCCTTCCCCTGTGTGCCCGCCAGCACCCGTCACCAGGAGACGGCGCTTGGACGGGCGCCTCCGTCCCTGGCACATTTCCTGTGCGTTTGGACGGTCTTTAGAGACCTGCCGTGCCAGTGGTGCCTGTATAAAGTCTTGCAGTCGACAGCTACCTGTCTTTTAAAACACGGGTCCCAACTGGCTGCTTCAGTCCATGCTACCCCAGACTGCTTTAACATTGGGGGAGGGGGGATCAAAAACAACAGAGGCATCTGTCTGCTTGTCGTGTGCCAGGGCTGAGTGGGGAGGGGTTGATCTTCAGCTGGGGGGGGGGCCTCCCTGCCTTATCTGGAGGAGGCTTCTGGGCAGGAGAGCTGGACCTTGAGATAGGCAAGGGTGGAGGAGCCCCTGAAGTGGCCGTGCCTGCCAGAGTTCCATCACCATATGCTAGGCTGCTGGGGCGGGGTGGGGAATGTGAGATACCGGGATGAACTCTTCAGTAGAGGACCACAGAGATGACAAGGTTCAGGGTACCATTTCCCCACCTTCCCACAAGTAGCCAAGGGTGTAGTAGGAACACACTTGAAGGTTTCTTGACAGCTAGAGGAAATATTCCTCTACTTTTGTCAAAAGCGATATTTAAGAAATGTGGATCAGAAGTCGTCGTCCCACTTCTGAGGACAAGATACTCCAAGTCTGAACGATGCTTCGGCAGCTCTTTGCCAGAGTAATATTCAAAGCTGTAAATAATTAGAAGCAAGCCCAATGTTCATTCAAGGGAGAGTAGCTAAATAAATTATGGCATGAGAATTAGTTAAACATTATGCTGCCATTAAAGACCGCGATCCTATTACACAATCACATAGGAAATGATTTGTGTAATGTTAGGCAAAAAAGCAAAGCAAAATATACTGTAGCCATTGCCTTTGCAAAAATGTAAATACATGCAAGAAAACATGAAATGTCTTTTGTGATATTAGACATTTGCAGTTAACTATTCTGAATTCATACTTTGATACATGCATTATTTCTATCTTAAAAGAACGTCATCCTTTTTAGGACATATATGCCACCCTCTTCATGAAAAAAAAAAACCCTCAACTGTGATGCTGGTGGAAAAAAATCAGCTTTTGGATGGATTCTTAGCAAATATATAAATATGCCCATTTCTTCCGAGAGATAAGAAGATTTTTATATTTCATCAACTGTTAAGTTAGAAGTCTAAACCTTTGAAATGGTTTATAGATGTTCAGTATCATCTTCTTTATGGAACTGGGTTTTGAACTCAGAATCTTGTGCTTGCTGGGCTCTACCATTTGAGCCATGCCCTCCGTCCCTTTCTTTGCTTGTTATTTTTTACATAAGGTCTCACCCTTTTTTGCCCAGCCAGCCAAATTATCCTAATGACATCTTCCATGTAGCTGTGATCACAGTCACGAATCACCATCTCCAGCTTGTTTGTTGAGATGCAGATCTCAATTACTTTTGGCCTGGGCTGGCCTCAAACATGATCCACCTGACCTCTGCCTCTTGAGTAGCTGAGATTACAACCATGGGCCACTTTGTCCAGCCTTAAGTATCCAGTATTTTTTCCCTAATTCTCTATAACTGATAGGTTGGTTGTACTGAAAAACAGCCACATTTCCCATCCCTCTTGCATCCAGGAGCCTGAATATGAATGATATTCTGCCCATAGGTGATGGGTGGGATCTGAAAGGCAGAGTAAGGCTAAGGCCCTACCTGCTGCTTTGATGCTTTCTGACCCCTGGGAAGGCTGCAGGCACTTAGGGTGAGAGCAGTTGGGTAAGACAGTGGCTTCCTTGTTGTAGCAACACTGAAGCCTCCCAGCACTAATTTCAAAGCTGGTGAGAAGCTTTGATGGCAGGTGGTATGGCAGCAGTGATGGTGGCAACCTCCTGATCCCTGCACTACAGCTTAGTTGGTGACTTGATGTCTCAGGTTTGAGGATGTAGCGGAGGAAGCTAGTCCCTTGGGAAGCCAAAGGACTAGCTGGAGATCTGAGAGGGGCCCTTAGTGGCCCAGCCTTGAGTCTGACCCAACAACGTCATGCTTAGCAGTAGAAGGGCTTGTTGATGAGGATGGGGGTGAAGGTGGTGGTGATGATGATTATGATGATGCAGGAGTCACACCTGGACATGGAAACGCAACAGCCATCCCTTCTTCCTCCTGTGGGGAAGGCCTGCAGCACCACAGACACCATAGCCCAGTGCTCTGGTCCTACCCAGCACCAAAGGAACAGCTCTTTTTTTGAAAGACAAGAGCTCAGGGACCCAGAAGCAGACAAGAGGCTGCTGAGTGGATTCTCTCCCTTGGGGCAGACCAGGAGACTCAGGATGACTTACTGCTTCTGCCAGTGGCTTGCATAACATTCCTTAACATTAGCCTCCCCGTGGTGGTGTCATGCTGCTCTAGGCACAGGGGAAACCAATCTTGGTGTAGCAAGAGGAAGCCGCTGGGCACGCAGGATTGAAAGCACCTGGCTTGGGCTCAGAGCCTAGTGACTGCACCATTTACTAAGACTTGTTTGGCTATGGGGCTCCAGTTGGTTTGGCATGCTTCCTTTTCTGTAGACCATGGCCCTGGGTACTTAACCACAGACAGAGTAAAATATGGGGCTGTGGGGGGGGGGGAATCATTTAAATAAAAATCACTGACCTCAGTGCCAAATCAGCCCCATAGCTCCCTCTGGAATTCCTCCTTCACTTCTGCTCGTTCATCCTGCTGGGCTGTGGTCTCTATGTCTCCTTCCTCTGCACTCAGTCCCAGAAGCTCCTTTCCTCCCTTCCCAGTGGTCTCTCTCCAGCCCCGCCCCCACATCACAGTCACTCACTGTTTTGTAGACTGTCCTCTCCTCTCAGGATTTCATGTACTTCCTAGACTCACCCCATCCCCCAACTATTCTGCCTTACAAGGAACTCAGAGAGCCTGTGCTGAGACCACTATAACACACACACACACACACACATACACCACAAAATAGCTCAAAACAACAGAAATGCATTTCCTCACAGTTCTAGAAGCTAGAAGTCTGAACTCCAGTGCAGCCAAGCCAAGTGCTGAAAGCTGTGGCGGCGGGACTTGCTTGCCTCTTGCAGCTCCCAGCAATGCTGACAATCTTTGGTTTCAGACACAGGACATCAATCTCTGCCTCCCATGTGGCTTTCTTTCTGTGTGCGTCTGCATCCAACTGAACTCCCTCTTCTTACAAGCCTGCCTACCATATTGGATTTGGGGGCTGCTCTAATCCAGTATGGTCTCACTTGAACTTGATTACAGGGAAAAAAAATTGCAAACAAAGTCACACTCACAGGTTCTAGGTGAGTATGAGTTTAAGGGAAACATTATTCAGTACAGTGAGGTGGAGGCAAGGTTCCAGAAAACTGGGTGCTAGCCTCTTATCCTCACTCCTTTTATCTGTGTGAAACAATGACCCTGGGTTAGACTCAGACATGGCCCTGTCCCCTCTAGCCTAAAACAAAGTCCATAATCTTTCCTCATGATCATCAGCTCCTAAAGCTATCGTTCCCAGGTTTTATTTCAGTTTTACCAGTTACCCATTTGGCCAGCTTACTTCTTTTTGTTGTTTTTATTATAAAGGTAGGGTTACAGTCACTCACTTCTTGCTTCCTTTTCCTGTTGCTCAGATCTTGTTCACAGTGTGTGAATGTGGCCTGTGCCAGATTTATCATCCAAACTGGAATACTTTTTGAGAATGGGGGGTTGGGGGGAGATACTGTTCACATTTACTTCAAGACAGAAGGCACAAACTGAGACTGGGAAAACCAAGCCAGAGCTAATTCTAGCTGGCCCTTGCTTGTCACCCCCAAAACTGTCTCCTTAAACCTATGACCCTGTTCTCTCCTTACATCCTCTTCAATATGAAGACCATCCATGTCTCTACTTGATTTCCCAGCCCAGATGGCTGGCCCTCTTATAAGCTACCTGTGACCCCTCAAAAGGGAGATGAGCCCTGGGCTCTTCCTGCTTCTCATGGCTCTCCTCAGCTCCCTCTCTGTGCTACTACAGTTCTTGTAGCCATGTCTTACCTCTCACTTCACATGCCAGGTTCCTAGAAGACATTCACCAAGTAGTAAATAGTCAATATTATTAAATGCATGAGATTTTCTTTTAGGCATCAAATTACCTTATAATAGCATTATAGACATCCTGCTTTCAGGTTGTTAAAAGAAAAATTGAGGACTAGTAATGTAGCTTAGTGGTAGGGTGCCTGCCTAGAATACACGAAACCATGAGTTCAATTCCTCAGCACCACATAAACAGAAAAAGCTGGAGGTGGCACTGTGGCTCACGTGGTAGAGTGCTAGCCTTGAGCAGAAGCAGCTCAGGGACAGTGCCCAGGCCGTAAGTTCAAGCCCCAGGACTGGCAAAAATAAATTTAAAAAAAAAGAAAAAGAAAAAGAAAAATTAATGCAGACTCTGGTGGCTCACTCCTGTAATCCTAGCTACTCAGGATGCTGAAATCAGAATCATGGCT